GCGTAGAGGGGGAGGATCACCTCCTTGGCCCTACTTGAGATGCACCTGTGGATGCACGATAGGGTCCGGTTAGCCCTGCCGACCGTGACCTCGCATTGTCGGCCCATGTTCATCTTGGAGTCAATGATGACTCCGAGATCCCTTTCTGCCTCCATGCTCTCAAGAAAGGAGTTTCCCATCTTATAAGTGTGCTGCCGGTTGCTACTGCCCACATGCAGCACCCTGCACTTGTCCGTATTGAAAGGCATCCTGTTTTTGTTAGCCCACCCCTGCAACCTATCCAGGTCTTGCTGCAGTCTTTCCCGCCCTACTAGCGTGCCCACCTCACCCCAAATTTTGGTATAATCAGCAAATATGAACAGGTTGCTTTTCACCCCGTTGTCCAAGTCACTGATAAAGAAATTGAAGAGAAATTTCATCATTCTCTGTTTTGTAGAATATTTTGCAGAAGCAGAAACAACAGTTTTGGCCCAGACCAGGGTGGGTGGCCAATCACATAACAAATAAAGAAAAGAGTAGTCAGATGCAAAGGCTGTACACAGCTTGGAGCCTCAGTTTACCTAAACTATTCAAACCCTTGAGAATGAAGAGTGTTTTGGGGAATAGATCCTGGTTTCTATAAATGGCTCTTGAGTAAAATTGGTATTTACAACCAGTAATTATCAAAATTAATCTAATGCATTAGCCTAATTTTCCTGCCACTCCAGATGGGAGTAGGAGGATGACTGAAATGGTGATGAAATATGACCTACTGTGTGGAAAACATAAAAGACCTAAAAGGTTTACAGGGAACTGAAACCCATTCAAAGCTATCGAAAAAGAGTCACAGCAATAAGGCAAGGAGAAATTACAGTTACTTGCCCAACATCATTTAAACCAGGTTTTGATTTTTGAAAATATGTTTGCAAATTGTATTAAAATCAGTTGTATTAGAGAATCATCCTTCTCAGCTTCTTCCCTGAGGTTACGCAGAGATTCCTGGTGGCCCTTCTTGATTTCTTCTGTTTCTTCAGTTTCCACAGTTTTATGTTTTTGGTCATACTGAGATCTTTTTTCTTGTTTTTCTCTTTCCACCTTTTCAGCATGGGCTCTCTTGAGCTCTTCTATGCTTTCTGCAAGTTTCCTCTCTGCATATTTGTACATCTCATTCGTGTAATGTGAGCCTCTGTTCTGCTGGACCATCCGATCAATTATTCCCACCAGCTCTGAGACCTGGTCTTTTTGCTCCTCTTCTTTTGCTTTGTTGTTGAAAGCACAATATCGGGTTCCACACTTGGCCATCAGCTCCTCAAGATCTTTGTCTTCTAGTTTTTTTAAATACCCCTCTAAAGTCTCATCCTCTAAATCATCTTTTCTGGTGAACAAGAAGATAATATAGTGAATGGCCTCCTTCCCAAAAATGTCTTGTATTCGAGCAACTGTTGCCTTCTCTAATGCCGTGAAACGCCCCAGCTGCATGACCAGAACGATGGCGTGGGGACCTGGGGAGGAGACAACCACACAGCGCCCAATCTCCTGCATGGTTTCCAGTAAAGGAATTTTTGTGTCAAACAAACCGGGAGTATCAACTAACACGAGGCTCCGGCCATTCCAGTCTCTCTGCTTCTTAGTACATTGTTTTGTTACAGACTGGGCTGCAATTTTAGATTCGAAACATGTCTCACCCAGGATGCTGTTTCCTGTTGCACTTTTCCCACATCCAGTTCTCCCAACAAGAACAATCCTCAGCTCAGATGTCCCAGGGCAGTGGCTGCCGGGGCCTGGGCCTGTGGGGAGAAAGGGTCACAGGGTCACTGGAAAGGCAGTGAAGTAACAGAGGCTGCTCCTGCGGGTCCTGTTTCCATATCCCGAGATGCTGCAAGGATTCAGCTCGCTGGCCTACAGACACTGGGCTTTGTGGGGGTGAGCAGCACTGGGAGTGGTGAGCGCTGGCAGCCAGATGCCTTGGCTCCCTGCTGAGAGCTCACCCAAGCACAGCTGGGGCATCTGGGCTGGAGCAGGGCAGGGAAGTGCTCAGCTGGTATCAGACCAGCAATATGGGAGTAATAGAAAGAGCCACGGCTGGCTGGGGATTGGGCTCCCTCGCTGTCTCAAAATATAAGAATGGAAGGGACCTGGGAGCCCATCTACTGCATTTCCCTTCATCCCCCTGTAAATGCAGGCTTCCTGTTCCTCAGACACATGCTCATCCAGCCCCGTCTTGAAAACCTTCCATGAATGAGATTCCATAACTTTCTTGGTCAGGGCAAGGCACACCATATATGTCTTACTTGGAGTTATTGGGGAAGTTACATCGTCATTAGGCCCCATGCAAAGCCTATAGATCGAAGATAATGATGTTGAAAGCAGCAGCGGAGGCAGTTCCTCCATGGGAGGAAAAGGAAAACTTTCTTCCAGTGAAACAGGGGAGTTGTCTGTAAGTCCACAGGTGACTGAGGAGGCCAATCCAGGATCTTCATGTTCAACTGCATACCAAAAGACAGAGCCTGAATGGTATAAGACACCAAAATATGAGTGAACTGGACCAAGTTCAGGATGACTGGTGAACTCCTACAGGTGGATCAAAAGAGGGCCTGGGAACCCTTAACATTTTGTAGTAGTGCACCTTGGTACTTTACACCTATCCCATGTCTGCAAATAACGAGGCTAACACTGCATACAAGCTGATTGTGTACGTTCGTGTCTAGGCTTGTTCGCAGACAATAACCCTGGCCAAGTCTTTGTCACTAAGAACCAAAGCCCGCAATGTCTATGAACGAGATCATTAGGGACATGCATTTCGTATAGAAGTGATGGCATCCCAACAGCCTGCACACAGATGACCCAAACTGAGGCCAACCCTGGTGATGCCCAATCCCTTCTGAGTAACAGGCACAGAGACCAGTTGGGTGGGTGTCCCGGAGAAAGCAGCTATGGACAGAGCCATTGGCAGGAGGCAAGGGCCTCATAAGGGCACTGAAGAACTGGCCTGGAAAGGCACATCTGAGATATCTTTGACTTTATTCTGCAAGCCCTTTCCCCAGAGCAGCTTAATGCTGTAGGGCTTCATCAACTCCTGTCAGGGAGGAAATGGGTGTTTGTGGAAGACTTGTGGGACAGAACTAAAGTTCAGTTACCCCTTCCACACATTCTCTGTCACTCCAGGGCCCAGCAGACATGCACAGATGCACCAAACCTCCATCCCTGTTGGCCTCACTGCCCTCAATCTAATAAGAGCAGCACAGGGCTAAGTTACACCTCAAACTACCCTTCCTACCACACCCATGAAGCCACAAGGCAGAAGTGCAGCCCCAACAGAGCCAGCTCTGTGAAAAGGAAGCTGAAGAAATGCAGTGAATGGATGGTTGGACAAATCATAGAATCATAGAAAATGAGGGTGGGAAGGGACCTCAGGAGGTCGCATCTAGTCCAACCCCATGCTCATAGCAGGACCAGCCCCAACTATATCATCCCAGCCAAGGCTTTGTCTAGCCAGGCCTTAAAAACCTCCAAGACTCCATCACCTCTCTGGGTAGCCTTTTCCAGTGTTTTACTACCCTCCTAGTGAGCAAGTTATTCCTAATATCCAACCTCAACTTCCCTTGCTGAAACTGGAACCCATTGCTCCTTCTTCTGTCATCTGCCCCTGCTGAGAACAGTCCAGCTCCATCCTATTTTGAACACCCCTGCAGGGAGTTGAATGATGCTATTAAAATGGATGAGCATTATTGACCTTGCAGCGTTTTTGTTTGTAAGGGGAGCACAGCCCTCTGAAGGGTGGCTCAGAAGGAGAGAATCTTCCCATTAGTGCAGCTCCATTGGGTAGAAGACTGGATCACTGTCACAGTATTTCCAACATAAGAACCATCCTTGAGAGAACACAGATGGGCTTCCTCCTGGCCTGTGGGAAACAGTTCCTTGCCTGATGGCACAACGGAGCCACTTGGCCTGATGGTCAGTCCCTGTCCAGGAAGTGCCAAGGACTGAAAGTCTCCAAGCTTTCCTGCATACCAGAGCTTCTTGTTTCAAGCACTTGCTGCAGAGCAAGGAGTTCAAGGGAAGTTCTCCTCCTTCTCTACTTGGCATTGGTGAGACCACAGCTGAAGTATTGTGTCCAGTTCTGGGCACCACACTTCAGGAAGGATGTGGATAAGCTTGAGAGGTTACATAGAAGGGCCACCCATATGATTAGGGGCCTGGAGGATATGCCCTTTGAGGAGAGACTCTGAAAACTGGGCCTGTTCACTCTGAGTAAGAGAAGATTGAGATGACTTGTAGCCTCCTACAAGTACATCAGGGATGAGCATCAAGATCTAGAGAAGCAACTCTTCAGGAAGGCACCTCAAGGGAGGGTAAGGACCAATGGGCATAAGGTAATAGAGGATAAATTTAGGCTGGACATAAGAAAAAACTTAGTCTCTGTAAGGGTCACCAGATTCTGGAACACACTCCCAGCAGAGGTGTTGCAGTCCCCATCCTTGGAGGTATTCAAGATGAGGTTGAACAAGCACTTTGTTGACTTGTCTGAGCCCAATAACTTGCTGCCCATGGCAGGGGACTGAACTTGATGATTTTGCAAGTCCCTTTTGGTCCTTCAGGTCTATGAGTCTAAGGTAAGAGAACCCCCTGGACCCAGGGAAAGTTTATTGCATATCTGGAGATACCTGGGTTCAGAAATTTCACTTGTGTGACAGGGCAGTTAACACGCCCTGCCACAAGAACATGGCAAACAGTAAAGAAGAAAACAACTTACTGGGGTTAATCTGGGTGGGAGAGAGAGACTCTAGAAGAAGACAAGAGAGGAAGGTGGGACACCAGTGAAAGGGGATCGACCCTAGGACTCAGAGAAAAGTCCTGGCTACCAACGTACCTGAAGAGACTTGGGGATGAGGCGGTGACGACATCCTGGTTTGTGCATCCAATCCATGAGGGTGAGATGAACTGATCCAGGAACCTAGAAGGGAAAAAGGATGAGGAAGAAATTACAATCTGGCAGAACGTTCACTACAATCCTAGCCCTGAGACTCAAGGGCAGGATTCGAACCACAATGTGGCCATCTTGGGACTAGCGCAGAGTAGAATGGGGCAAATGACTGGAATAGTGGGGATACTAGAAACAGGGACCTGGTAAACAAGGAGATAAGCCTCCCTGAGATGAAGACTAAGAATAGTGAAGAAGGAACACCTGATGTGGATAAGACGGGGTATGGGGATGATGGAGCCCTGCAAAGAGGAGCCGTCTGCCTGAGTCATTAACAGTCATCTTATCTCCTAGGATCATTTCTAATTTTGACTCCTTAACATCAAAGTCATGGCAGGCGAGCTCTAAGAGCACACTAGATCCTAGTGGGGAGATGGCCTGGCTCCAAGCACCTCAGCATCAACCTCTCACAGCTTGCATTACAGGAAGATTTGTGCTAAGGACACAAGCAACACATAGGACATGTCCTTACCTCTATTTCTGTCTTTTGCTTTTTCCTGAGTTTTCTTTTGCTAAAAAAGTTTATTTTAAAAACCAAATTAATACAAAGTTACAGAACAGAGATGAACAACATGTGACACAGCAGTGAATAATCATGAGTTCCCAGTCCCCACTCTGGCTTCCTTTGGGGGATGTGGGCACGCTAGAAGGGAAGAATAGACTGCAATTGGACCTAGACAGGTTACAGGGGTGGGCAGATGAGAACAGGATGGGTTTCAACACTGACAAGTGCAAGGTGCTGCACCTGGGGAGGAAGAACCAGTATCACACCTACAGACCGGGGAACTCCCTTCTCGTCAGTGCAGAGGCAGAAAAGGATCTTGGTGTCATTATTGATGCCAAAAGGAACATGGGCCGACAGCGTGGGGACGCAGTCAGGAAGGCCAACCACACCTTGTCGTGCATCCACAGATGCATCTCGACAGGTCCAAGGAGGTGATCCTCCCCATCTCTGCGGCACTGGTCAGGCCACAGTTGGAGTACTGTGTCCTGTTCTGCGCGCTGCACTTCAGGAGGGATGTGGACAGCATTGAGAGGGTCAGAGGAGGCCACCCGCATGGTCAGGGGACAGCAGGGCAGGCCCTATGAGGAGATGCTAAGGGACCTAAACCCATTCAGCCTCCACAAGAGAAGGCTGAGGGGGATCTAGTGGCCATTTACAAACTAGTCAGGGGGACCAGCAGGCATTGGGGGAGTCCCTGTTCCCCCGAGCACTGCCAGGAGTGACTAGAAATAACGGTCACAAGCTGGCAGAGGGTAGATTCAGACTAGACATCAGGAGGCGCGACTTCACTGTCAGGGCAGCTAGGATCTGGAACCAACTTCCAAGAGAAGTGGTGCTGGCTCCTACCCTGGGGGTCTTTAAGAGGAGGCTGGATGAACACCTCCCCAGTGCTCTTTCCTGCCATGGCAGGGGGTCGGACGTGATGATCTGTCAAGGTCCCTTCTGACCCTACAAACTATGAAACTATGAAACTATGAAGGCCTTTATGAAGCAGTAGCCAACCCCTCTGCTCACAAGCCAAGGAATAAATGAACATGAGCAGCAAGCAACCCCCAGTCCACATCCTCATGACCCACAAACAGCTGTGCAGCATCTCAGTCAGATCCCACCCTTGGTGTGAGAGGGAAGGCGGGGGGCAGGGGTCAAGGAAATTCACAGCACAGATTCCTTTGATAAAAAGGGTGCAGATTAAGTAGTAGTGAAAAGGACAGCTAGCTGGGGAATCACATGTGAGAAGAGTCAACCTCGGGGTTCAGGACATGCTGAGGTCAGAGGCCAATAGATCAAAACTCAGGGCATCATAGCAGGCTTCCAAAGGAGATGAAGCTGGGCTTGAGCAGGCTCTTCTGCCCACAAGAAGCCCTCCAAGCTGTGAACCATTGACCATAACATGAAGAGGAGGAAGCCACAGCACACACCTCCTTACCCTGGAGACACCGCTCCAGAATGTCCCCGTTTGCTGGAATCTGCCATATGAGCCCCAGCCGCGATACTCACCGAGCTGGACTTTGCTCCCATGATAAAATCAGCCGTCACCTGGAAAACAAAAGCAAAGACATGGGACGTTCTTGAAAATCTTTTCATAACTCCACAGAAGGGGAGGGAGTTGCTGAGGGATGAAACCCCCCTGAGGAGAGAAGCTGCTTTGCGAATGCAAATGTATGCAGCTCTGGCTGCCTCAAACATGATGTTCAAGAAAGAGACAGGGATTCAGGGCTGGGGAGAGCTTAGTGGGAAAAAGTTACTGGAAAGTTTGCACAGTATAAAATCAGAGAAACTTCAGGCTGGCCATGCTCTCTGGAGGACACATTTAGTACATTGGGGATTCTCCCTATCCAAACTATTCCAGACAAGTCCTTGTCTAACCTATTCCCAAAACTGCGCAATGAACCTGCTGCATAACTACAAGGCCCCTTGCCCAAAGACAACAACAAGAGCCCCCAAACCTGCCCCAAGTCATGTAGGGGGATGAGGGCTGACAGTGCACTGCTGCTGCAAGTGTTAAAATGCATGTAAGAGATCCAAGGAAGAAGGCCAGGGCCCACACTACAGAGGAAAGCAAAACCCTTCCAGTCTGTACCAGCCTGACCACGGGGTAAAATTCCGTCCCAGCCCCAAGTACGGCATAAGTCTGACACCCCTACTGCTCCTATTGATGCAGCCCAAAACCACACTTGCCTTTTGTGCAGCTCTATCACCTGACAATTTCATATTAAGTTTATGATCCACCAAGACTCCAAGATCCTTCTTTTTAGTGTCAATGATCCCAATCAGTAATAAATACATTGAACCAAGCTGGGAACAGGACAGACCCTTTTAGGATTCCACGCAAAACCTCCAACCATTCCGGCAGGGATCCACTGATCATCACTCTCTGACTGTGGCTATTGAGTCAGTTGTCAATCCACCTTATAGCAGCTTTGTCTAGCCCAATGTTTCTACAATTTGTTTAAGAGAAGTTCATGCAAGCCTTTGTCAAAAACCTTGCTGAAGTCCAAATAAGGAATAACCACAGTATTCCCTTCATCCACCCTTCTAGTTACTTTGCTCAAGAAGAGGATCATGCTTCCCTGTACTGAGGAAAGCAACCTCTCACTCCACCAGTCCATGATGTTCTGACCACAGGATGAAAACACTTCCTGATCCCAAATATCAAAGGAGGGAAAAGACCCTCTAACCTGGAACCGCTGGGTTGTTTAAATCACAGGAGGAGCATCAACACGCCCCTGTTAATGACAAAGTGGGAGAGCCGTGTGCCCATACGGGGGTGCAGGAGCCACGTCCTGGCCCCCACCGAGAGTGCAGGAGAGCTGGACGTCTGCACAGATGAAGCACGTGCCCCCCCTGACTCTGGTCATGTACATCGGGGCTTTGCCAGCAGCTGTGCATTGGAGCAGAGTTTGATTTCTGCCACCAAACCAGCTACGCCTCCTGCCCCTGGGGTGGGACCTTCCCACCCCAGGGGTGCAACCCCATGCAAACAGCCTGTCGAGCGCACGCCAGTCAGGTCCCCAGGCAGAGATGGTTCTGGGAGGTGGGTTTAGGGGAGGTTGGGGGGGAACAAGGTAGGGGCCAGATCAGGTCCCCATGAGCTGGGACTTCCTTCCCAGGGCAGGGGCAGTAGCTCCCTCAAATGCACCTTTCCTCACTACTCCCACTCCCAGTCCCCACAGGAAGCACAACCAGCACCCCCACACCCCAATCCCAATCTCAGTTTATTCCAACATGAGATCTTCTTTAATTTCCTTCCTCTTCATTTATTTTTAAATTCTTTTTTTTTCTCCACTTCTTTTTCTTTTATCCTTCAGTGGCTAGCTGATTTCATTTCACCACCCTTCTCCCACACCCATTTCCTTTCCACCTCCCACGTCATGACCCAGCCCCGGGCCATTAACTCTCCCCTTCCCAGTTTCATGTTCCTGCCCCCCCTCAAACCCACCGACAGCAGGGACAGAAGCCTGTAGGGGCAACTCACAGCTACAGCTCCTAGTCTGGCCTCTGCTCACCACCCCTCTAATAGCAGCTCCCAGCTGTGTGACAGTCAGGGGAGGTTTTCAGCTGCAAGGTGTGTCTGCTTCAAATTCAAGCATGAACAGTGATCGACATTTGAGCAGCAGAAACTGTAACGTGACAACTGACTATGCAGGAAATTATTTCTTAGCTACAAGGCAGAGATATTTGTGCCTCTTGAAATAAGGTTTTTGATCTTGAGCAGGGAAGGGGCACTGTTTTGCAGCAGGGGACATTTTAATGGAGCCTAGAGTGACATAGAGGAAGTCCTCTTGGACACGGGGAGTGACCTGGCTGTGTGGTATCCCATCAGACCCTGGATGTGGTCAGCAGGTGGTGGAGCAGGACCAGGAGCAGGAGCAGGCCAGCCACCAGACCCTTGCAAAGGTAGAAGCAAAACTGTTACCTCTCACCATAAACAACTGCATATAAGTTTTCATAAGTAATAAAATGCTGCTCCGCACTACAAGCCTCAAGATACAAAACTTCGCTTTAAGCACAGGCTGTTTCCAATCTGCCCTGTGCCCCCATCGCCACAGTCACTGCTTCCCTGGTTCTCACCCCACAGTGCTGCCGTCACTGCTCCTCGCAGTGCCTGGCTGCTGCGTGAGTGAAGACCCAGCTCTTGCTGTGCCACCCAGACAGCTCTGAGGGAGCTCAGGGTGGCTCCAGGGACCAAAGGCTGCCAAAAGCTGAGTGCAAAGGGTTTTTTTTAGAGTCCACCAAGGAGAAAGAGAAAAGTGCAGCGTTTGGCCAGGAGAGGAATTTGCAGTGAGAGAGACCGTTTCATTCAGCTTTCACTTACAGGGGAGAGCCAATAGGAAGAGAAAAAAGGGAAACAGGAGAGTGGCTATTTTTTCCATCTATCTTCAAATCCAAGATATCGTTGCCTGCTTTTAGCAATTTCAAATGACTTGTAAGGAAGTACTTGCAGAGGGAACTTCAAGTCAATGGAGTAGTTTAAATTGCCCTGTAAAAAACTTTTACACGTGTACAAACTCTCACATGCACTCGCACACAAGCAGACGGACACACACATACAAGCAGACATGCATGCACACACATGCACACACAGGCCATTTCACCTCCTCTGTGCTGATAACCCAGCTCGGAGATCAGAATTGTGTTTCCATCCCTGTGTGTCCCTCCAACACCAGCGCTGTCCCCTGGGCTTGCTGGCAGGTGAGGAGAATGGAGACGAGTCCACCCAGGCGATTCTGTTGGAAAAGTGTCTGGAAGCCACTCAGGTCCCAATGCAGACCTCCCGTGGGCAACACAGACAAACCTGTCCTCACTCTATGTGTGTATGTGTCTGTGTGCGTGTGGGGGTGAGGGGGGGGAGTGCCCAAAGGGAAGGAGAACGAGCATCAAATCACTTTGCAAAAACACCATCTCTTACCGCAGTTACTTGTGGGCAGATCAGTCTTGACAAGCAGCAATGTCCCAGGAGAGGATCGTCACCCAATTCAGGGCGGTCCAAGGCTGGAGCATCAGCAGCGATGCTTGTTAGGACAGGGGCAGCGGCAGCTGCTGCGGTGGCATCTTGATGTTTCACTCACACCATCCCGTTACATCTGTGGCTCCACCGTGGTGGGGAGATTAGACTAGACCAGAAGAGGGAAAAGCGCCCTGCCCCCTCTTCCTCACCCCTTCCTCCCCCCAGCTTCCTGCCCAGCAACTTTATTGTTCTAAACAGGAATCAAAACTGAAAGACAACACACCTAAAAGGTGCATGTCGTTCTGAGATGCCATGTAGCAGATGCCATGTAGCAGATCTGAGATGCCATGTAGCAGGGAGTGTTCCCGGCTGGCCTCTGCCTGCTGTTGTCTTGGGGTGCTTGTACACATGACGGTGTCCAGGCTGCCCGCGGGGCTCAGTGTGTTCCCAGAGGCTGCTGCTTGCAACCAGCCTCCTGGACCTCAGGTGCGATGCAGAAAGAGCAACTCCAATTTGTGTTTGGTGGTGAGCTCTCACACAGGCTTGTCACCTCTTGACACGTGACACAAGCGGGGCTGCGTGGCCACCAGCCCAGCTCAGGCAAATTGCCCAGAACGAATGGTTAGCAACACATAACGTGCAGCCCACACTTCCTGCTGGTGCTGTGAGAGGGTGGATCTGGCAGCATCTGTATTTATAGCTGACAGCTCCAGTTCTCATCTCCCTCTCTCAAGATGTGCCTTTTTGACTTATCTCCTTGGCCCGTGCAGGCAGCTGTAGCTCATCCCTTGCCAAGCTCAGGCCTCTCCAGCTCCTTCCCCCCTGGGTCCAGCTCACCTCCTGTTATCTCTTCTTCACCGACAAGGTCTTACTTCTCAAGTTGCTCAGACATGGGGGTTTTCTTCCCCTACTTTCCTTCAGCCAGCATTTTTACTCACTTTCTTTTCATCAAGTCATTCAGCAGTTAGTGAAGTCTGCTATTCCCACACCCCTTGGCCGTGCCTCGGTTTCACTGCGGTTTAGCATGACTATGGCTTAGCATACCCAGAGCTCCTACAGCAGACAGTGTAGCAACAATTTAAAGCTGGGGTTTCAAACATATGGCCTGTAGGTCAAATCCAGCATGTGGAGGAAGTCCCTGGGCATGATCCTGCCTGCAAACCAGCCCCATGCCACTCATGTGGCCTACAGGGATGGATGAGTTTGACATGCCTGATTTAAAGAAACAATGCTATATATAATGGCTAATACATCCTTAGGGTGTATCTATGTTGATAGGTATCTATAAGCCCAAGGGCACAACCTGAGAGTCACTTGCAGATCAAGAGATGTGATTCTTCCACTCTGTCCAGCACTGGTGAGGCCTCACCTGGAGTCCGGTGTCCAGGTTTAGGCCCTACAAATATAGGGACAAATTAAAATCCAGCAGAGAGTGACAAACACAATTAGAGGCCTGCAAAACTTGATATGCAAGGAAAGTTTGGAAGAAGTTTGGAAGATTATTAAGTCTGAACAAGAGAAGACTGAGGAGGGATATGAGCACAGTCTGCAAATACTGAAGAGCATTTTTAAAGATGATGGCCATAGACTAGTCTCTGGCTACAGGGGCCAGAATAGGGAACACGGGTTTTAAATGGCAACAAGGGAAATTTTGTTGAGACATTAAGAAGCATTTCTTCACTATGAGGCTTGCAGCCAGAGAGGTGGTCAAATCCCCATCCTTTGAGGTGTTTAAGAGCAGGTTGGACAAACATTTTTCTGGGACGGTTTGGATGGGGATGATCCCGCCTTGAACAGGGGGTTGGACCAGATGTGATCTCCTGAGGTCCTTGAAAAGCCACTTTTTCTGTGATTCTGTGTACACCCACTTTTTCCTGTACATATCATTGTTTGTAATGTGTACCAAACCTATCCACACTGGACTCACATTGGTGAGGCCCATAGAGTTTCCTTGTTCTTGAACCATGGGTGGTTTTCCCCAATAACAGAACAGTCGGGATGAAAGCTGAAACTAAACAGTGCCTTGGCATGGAAATGAGTCCTCTGATTGCACAGAAAATTGGCCTGCCACTTTGGAGTCAAAGTTAGTAGGGCCAGGTGGGGGTCAAATGGCCCCTGATTTCCTCAGATCCAGCCCTCCTCTCTACCCATGTAAAAGAAGCAGCAGATTTTAATGCCAAAAGTTCAGTAAAAAAAATAGGGATAGAACTAAATACAAAGGGAGTGAGAGAAATGTTAAAAACAAAGGAAGAGGGAAAAGTGTGGGGAAAAGTCAAAAGAAAGAGAAAATACTCCTGGATGCAGTCTCTGCTTTAATAAAGCTCTTCTACTGCAAGTCCTGCTTCATGCCTCATTGCTAAAATGCCCAGACACTGACCTGGCAGAAACCTCAAGCCCCAGGGAAATGACCTGCCCTTGGAGGGTGAGATCAGGCCCAGGGCAAACAATACAGCAGCTCTTGACACCAACCCCTGAACCAAACATCCAGGACAGCAAGAGAGACCGTCACTTCTGGGAAGTGATCTGAACAGAAAGCACACACCGCTGCGGGAGGGAGAGGCTCCACCAGTTCTACCACATCCTGCACAAGGAGATTAAAACAATGACAAAGTCACCAACTGATGCAAGCGCACATAGACACGCATGAGAAAGACTCGTAAGGCGATGCAAAAGAGAATCTGAGTGTCCTGATCTGATATGGACACCAGGGTCAGAGCACAGGGGCTGCACTCTTTTTATTGTAGTTCACCTGCAGACGGGCTATTCAGCAAAAACCATAGTTCAAAGCTGATGAGTAAGGATTATAAGATGACCCCAGATTTTTATACTGTGTGGCTTGGGTAAAATCATAGAATCACAGAAAATGAGGGCTGGAAGGGGCCTCTGGAGGTCACATCTAGACCAAACCCCTGATCAAAGCAGGACCAGCCCCAACTACATCATCCTAGCCAAGGCTTCGTCTACCCGGGTCTTCAAAATCTCCAAGGATGAAGAGTCTACCACCTCTCTGGGGACCCTGTTCCAGTGTTTCACTACCATCGCAAAACATATTAGATAAAGCAAAAAGAAATAAACCTGTTCCTAATAGGTGCTCCTCTAATTAATATTCATATGCCTGATCTCATCCACTATATGAGCTATATCTCATCCAAAATTCACCGTATCTAACCACTAAATGTACTAAAAGTGACCTTAGCAAGACCTCTCGCCTAGTTTTTTTTCCATTCCATCTTTCTTGAATTTTGTGAAATGGCTCACACCTGGTGATTACCTCTGGCCTGATCTTTTCCCTTGTCTCTCCTTCTCTTTCCCAAACAAGGCAACCAGCATACCCAGAAGCCTGGTAAATCCCCACAGATGAGCACAGGCATTGCTACACCTAGATCATCCCTAACCAGTAGCTGCTCAACCTCTTCTTAAACACCCCCAGTGATGGAAAGTCCACAATTTCCCTGGACCTTTATTCCCTGCTCTAACAGTGAAAATGTGTTTCTGGATTTCCAATCTAACCCTTCTTCATTGAAACTTCAAGACATTGGTCCATGTCCTCCTCTATGCAGCAAGGAAGAAGAGGTGCTTTCCAAATATTTGAAGTGCTGCCATAAAGAGGAAGACTGCTCTCATGTCCCCTCTGAAGTGCATTTTACGCAAGCTGAACCTGCCCAGTTCCTTCAGACTCTCCTCATGTGACTTGCCTTCCAACCCCTTGATCATCTTTGTTGCCCACATCTGGACCCTAATTTCTCCACATCCTTTTTAAAATAAGGAGCTGGAACTGCACACAGTATCCAGATGAGGCCTGAGCAGTGTCCAGTAGAGAGGCACTATCTACCTATTCAGCTCCTGTCTTGCACCTAATGCTTTTATTGATGCATCCCAAAACTGCATTTGCCTTTTGTGCAGCTGCATCGCACTGCAGACTCACGTGGAGTCCGTGATCCACCAGGACTCCCAGGTCCTTTTCCATCCAGCTGGCCTCTAGCCAGACGTCCCCCATTTTGCATTTGGGTTTTGATTGAATCTGTACTGAAACACTGTAACATTTTCGCAATTTTACATAATCATCAAGGTTTCACTGGCATTAATGTGAGTTGTTAAAACCATTTTTCTGTTTCCCAAAATCCAATTTGTCATTTTCCTAAATAAAAGAAATGTTTTCAATAAGCATTCAATGCTTTGTCCTACAATAGATTAAATACAGTTCACTTTCTTCTGCTAGGCTGGGTCCCTAAAGTTCGGGAGAACCTGGATTTTTTTGTGCAGGAATGATCTGCAACCCATTTAATTGACAGCAAGATGTCATATTAGAGATGAGCCATTGTAGCTGCAGCTTTTACATCACTGTTTCGCCAATAAGCAGGACACCACCATGGTCCCACACAGCTGTTTGCTGCAGCTACGTGCTAATCCCCAAGATGCTCTATGTAAAAGTGAGTAAACCCCTTGTTGGCTGTGGTGATTGTGCCTGATACTGCAGGGGGTTGCTACAAGTAGTGGTATTCACCTGGCTCTCCGAGGTGTTGGTTCTTGTCTGCACTCAGTGCTCATGTAGCAACTGACCTCTCCATCCCAGGATCCTCCGGCAGGACAGCCACACCGGTTTCAAATGTCCCAATTATGGTACCTTGATGTGCAATCTGAGGTTCTGCTGACATATTGGCAATACATACTAGGATTTTGCCCTGGTGGCTCTTATCCATTGTGGTTCCCATCAGAAGCCCCAATTCTTTATTACGCTTAGGTTCAAACAAGCCCTCCTCATCCTTGCAGCACCATCTCTTCAATTTACCAGTTATCATCATTTCACTTCTAGAAGGTATTGACTGACTCTCCTCCACCA